AATTTTACAAGGGACCAAACTCTTTAAGAGAATTACCTGTACCACAAAATGAGCCCAAAGCAAGGTTTTGAAATGAAGTAGAAGGCGTTTAATCTAGGACATACTTTCAAACAACTTTTTGAATTCGGTTCAATTAACGACTAAACAAAAGAACAATGATTGCTCTCAATGCAAATTGGCATCTGGCCTTTGATAAACATATTTCAAATCAAATATATGTTTAATGAGTATAGAAATGATTCATGAACTAGTGATGTCTATTTCATTGTTGAGACGACTGAAGATACAACGCTTGAGCGACTGAGGAACGAGACCACAAACACAGATTGATTAGCCCGCTGCAGTTATTCTTTGTCCGGTTGGCGCTACTGCTTATTCTCAAGCTAATCAATTGATGCTACATTATTTCTGTAATTATCGTTATTCACTTATTTATGTCATGTCGGGTTTTTTTTTTTTCCAACTTTTGAATTATTTGAACATTCTTGTGGTCATGATTGTTTTTGGATGTGAAATTTTAATAAACAAAAACGAGAGTAAGAATTCTTCTATTTTTTTTTTTTTTTTATCTCAATTCCAGTTCGCTTAAATGAATGAACTGTTAATCAAGAATTGAAAAAGAATAACATGGAATTGAGTGTGTTTAGGAATTGGTCTATCTAATCAAAAATTTATCTCTAATCAGATTACTTAAGAAATTATTTAAAATCGCGAAAAATATACCCGACGTCTATTTTTCTAAAAAATTCAGGCTACCAGCATGATCCCACTATGTTATGAAATGGATAATTGGCGCAAAACGTCCATACCTTTCATTTTTTTGGCTCAGAATGTCACTACCTTTCACATTTTTGGCGCAAAATGTCATTTTGACCAATTTTTAACATAAAATGACTAATACACCCTCCTATATAAATAAAACAAAAAAGAAAAGAAAAGAAAAATAAAAAATAAATTACAATCTGCTCCTAAACTTTTTAAAAAAATGCAAATTAGTCCAAAAAACTAATTTAATTTCACCCAATATCACAAA